AGAGAAAACAACCGCTCTCCTGCACGTTAGGGGCCCACTGCTCAGGGGCACGGCCCAGCTCACCTCTTCCCGCGATGCAATCTGGTAGAAGCCAGGTTTGTTTGGTTTTTTTAATCCTTACAAAATGTTTCCACAATTAAAAACAAACAACAACAAACACAACCCAGCTGCTTTTAAGCAGCCCAGGGCTGCAGCCTGCTGAAGAGAGCCCATGGAAAGCAGGCCGGGTGCCGAAAAGGCCCAGCGCCAGCCCCGGTGCCAGCAGTCTCTTCCGGCCCTGCTGCGGGCACGAGGCCGTGGCAGGACACCAGCCTGTCGCTATTGTGGGCCGGGGCACAGAAACAAGGTGCCCCCTTCATCCTCCAACAGGTAAACTCACACCTGACAGCCCCTCTCCTTCCAGAGCCGCTGCCCTTCTGCATCTGCCCCTGGTGGCTTGATCCTCGGGTGTATCCAAAGGAGCCAGGGACGCTGCCTGGGCACCGTTTTCGGCAGGATCTGCACCAGGGCAGAGGTTGTGGCAGATGTGGTTGCAGCTGGAAAACTGGGCCCAAAGCGCAAAGCTGCTGGGAGCAGTCCTGAGCTAGGGTCGGGGAGGGGGAGAAGGCAGCGGGCCTGCAAAGGGCTGCCCTCCCTTCAGCGCCATTGCAGAGAAACTGCAAACCCACAGGCAGGAAGTTTATATATATATATATAATACATATAAAAAATAGATACACGCAGTTATAGCATTTGATACCAATGGTTAGAAAACAGATACCAAGTTGGTCCTGCACGATCCACGTGCAGCGTTAATGTTGTGCTGAGAGACGCCCAGACCGGCAGGGTACGTGTGCGTGGCGGATCCTGCCCTTGGGGACGCGGCACTGGCACCAGGGGCTGGTCACATGGCAGACTTCATCTCCCACTCCTGGAAAGCAGCAGAGTCAGGGCAGCTTCTGGCAGGACCTCTTGTGACCTCGTGCTGCACCCAAGTCACCTTAACTCTGCCCGCTTGCGACCGTCCCTAGTTTCCCAGGCTGCTCTGCTCGCTGCCTGCCCGCTCCCAGCCGTACCTTTCTCTTCTGCAGCACCTTCCCCTTTTCGATGATGACCACGGAGGGAGCTCGCTTCAGGGCGCTCTTCGTGGAGGCCGTGCGCTTCAGGAGCGGCGTGAGGAAAGAGCCCTGAGAGCAAAACCAGGGCGGGGAGAGGTCAGAGGGCGATGCCTGCTCTCCCTAACCCCGATGAGCAATGGACAGAGACTCCGCTGCCTTTCTAGCCCCCCTTTACACCCATGCAGCTTCCTACCCGGCAAAAGGCCCTACGCAGCCCTCCCCAGGCCATGCACGCCCCGGACCTTGTCACCGTGGCCCTCCTACCTCGGAGCCGGCCGAGCTCGTGGTGGCGGCTATGTGGCCCTTGAGCGACTTGCCGAG